TCAGACAGCAAACCACCTCCACACAATTCTCTGTTGGCAAGAAAAACAAGATGCCGACACTAGAGCTGAGACTTCCTTCCTTTTCCCCTCCTGCTGCAGCTCTTTGTGATGTCAACAAAAGCTGGGTCCAGAGGTTTCCCCCCCACACATTATCTAAAGCAGAGTGTTTGGGGGCTCAGGAGGAAGGGAAGTTTGTTGATTTGGGTAGAAGTGGGGAGGGAATCAGCAGAGAGGCAGAACTGGATTCTGGTTGAGGATGTTACTTGTCAAGTCTCTACATTATTGGAGAGCTTGCACAAAAATTTCATGGCCAGGATCTGACAATTTCACACAGAAGATAAATTATTCATTTCCTCTCTCTCTCTCTCTCTCTCTCTGGACCCTTGCCAACACCTTTAGCTAAGTACTACAGAGCATTGGGGGGGGGGGGGTTACCTCTTAGTACATATGCTGACATCGGGCTGACTGTGACTATGGAGGTGCCATGAAAGGCTGCCAGAACAGAAGCCCTTTTCATTTAGTTAAGACAAAGCTATTCTACAATACTTGTGTTCCTATTTTTGTCTTTATTACAGGGAAAGCTGTGTGCAAAGCCACTTTTGCTTTGGTGCACATTCACATTGACATCGGTTTCTCTGCCACCTACTGGCAACCTGCAAACCACAAGGGCCCTCCTTGTCCTCTACTTCTGCAGCCCACTGGACCACAGGGTGTCCCATGCCCCCTTTTCATCTGCTGCCCAGCCGGGAAAGGACCTGCGGGGGTCAGGCTGTATTCCTGCCCCTCAAACCATCTTCTTTCAAATAGCTTGTGCTCTGCTGCTCCTAGTAGTGAGGAAAGAGCAACCCCTTGGAGTTGCTGAAGGGCCTGTGGGTAGGTGGCTGTGTGACTCTGTGTCTGTTTGCATTCATGAGATCCCTGGCCCTCCCAAGACAGTGTCACTTACAGCTGGCAAATGGTTGGTGCAAATCCCAGCTCTGTGTGGCTATGTGCACCTCTTGTAGCATGAGAAACAGAGACAGTCTTTAAACATAGCTATGTCCACCTCTTGTAGCATGAGAAACAGAGACAGTTCCATAGGCCCTTAAAAGCCAGGACATTTATTCTGGCTTGCACATTTATCTTACTTGTTGAAGGTGGGAAATGGTTTATTACAGATGTGTTAGTTTATCACCGCTAAAAGGTTCCTGGCTTCTCAAAGACTAACAGGGCTAGTGTGGCATATGCTTCCTCTTCATCAAATGCAAGAAGTGTAATTCTCATTGAGGGAAGCATATATGGGTGTGGCAGGCAGGATGGAGAGTGAACAGGACACAATGGGCTCTGTACTTTCTGATAATTGAACGTAATGCTTACGACAGGCGAAGAGACCATTCAGAGTAGGAGGCAGATATGCTCTCTTCATCCTAAATAAATGTTAATATGCCTGCCAACTGAAGATAATATTTCGTATGTCTGAGGAAAAAATCTCTAGATCACTAATACTAGTAAGATGGATGGTCTTCTAAGAAGAGGCCACAAGCCTTTTGTAGTTCCCTCTGAATAAGTAGCTTTGTCAGTCAGTTCCATTTTCATCCTATCTTCCTTCCGAGGGCCATCATGGCTGTCCTCCTTGCCATTTTATCCTCACAGAAGCCCTGTGAGATAAGTCTGGCAGAGTGAAAGTGCCAGTCTGGCCCAGTAGGAATGTAATCCTGGCTCTCCCAAAGCCCAACCCAGCCCTTTAACCCAGTGATTCCCAACCTTGGGTCTCCAGATATTCTTGGGCTAAAACTCCCAGAAGCCTTCGCCACTAGCTGTGCTGGCCAGGATTTCTGGGAGTTGTAGTCCAAAAACATCTGGGGACCTAAGATTTGGGAACCACTGCTCTAACCAATAATATCACACAGGCTCTCAGCATTGCTGCCCCTATATTCACCCCACAGTTCATTCAGTCTCTTGAAGGGTGGCAAAGCTTTCTAATGGAACTGTGATACACAGCAACTGGAAAAGTGAGCTCTTTTGAAGACTCGAAGATGTTTAATGCACTAGAGTTGCAAGGAAGACATTAAGGGGTGGTGCAGAAAGGGAGAGGAGCAAAGAAAGAGGGGGGAAATTCTATGCATGTACATGGGAGAGAGAATGGCCTCTGTTACAAATGGGAGGAAGTGAAGGTGCCAAAAATCCTGACGCCTTTTTGATTGGAATCCCAGGTTCTCAAACACTGAATGTTGTTTACAACCACAAAATTGCTGAGGGGGCATCACTTCTATTGTATGTATCTTACCTCCCGACTCCCAAGGTGATGGAGCAAGCTGTGGAAGACACAGTAGGGGTCCCTTTTAAACATTAAATCAATGTGTTGCATCTGTCAAAATCCTTGAAAGCCACAGGCAGCGAAGCCAAATTCCAGATTGGGAACTCAGCAGGGGCTGTGTGGTAAACCTGAGTGTTCAGCATCTGAGCTCCGCTTATTAGCTGCCATCAGCTGGCAACCATTTAGAGGATCTTCAGTTGGAACTCAGGGAAGGAGCAAAGTCCTCTTACTCCCTTTGTCATTCCCCCCCCCCCAATCTTGGAAGTGCTACAAAACACCCTTATTAGGCCTGGCTTCTTGGCTTGGCATTTCGATGTAGCTGAAAAGCCACTCTAGAGACTTGTTAGCAGAAATGACCTTTGGCCTTGATGGACCCACACTGATACACTTTTAGAGAAATGTTAAAATGTTTCCAGGTATAGATTTGTGTGCTTGAGGTGAGTGTTGTCAGAGAGCCACAGTGAGAAATGAGATGTTTCTGGTCCCCTGTCTAGCACTTTTCCCCCCCTCTTTTTCTTTTTTGCATCGCAGCAGTGGACCAGTTGTGCCATTCGACAGAACAGATTCAGCATATAAAGAAAGGTTAAAAAAGAAAGTTAATTAAATATGATTGCTATTTTATTGGCAGGACAGAGAAGACCCCCTTGGGGGATTTTCACTCCTCAGGCACCAAAATAACTTGATTATCCTGCAAGATTATGCACCTTGATTCATGGGTTAGGTTATTTAGCCTGGGAAGCAAAGTATTCTGGACTGACAAGGTTAGGTGCTGCTTCATATATTATGAATCACAAGTGTGTATCTCTGCACAATAGCCATAAAATTGCACTATTATCTGAAGCATATCCATATGACACTGCCTTGCCATTCTCTGTAAACTAGAGATATACATGACAATATTCTCTGGTTCCCTCCAGTGGCCAGTTCTGATACTGTTCTTTGAAAATCTCTTGCTATCGCTCTCTCCCCTTACCTTCTGTAATGGCCCTCAGCAGCTACTGCTTTTGCTAGGCTCCAGGGGCATTACTTGTCTAAAGGGCAAATTTGGGGATTGTGAATGTTACTAAATGCCCTCCTGCCTTTTTAAAAGTACTAAATGCTGCTCTGCAATTGGTTGTTGTGTGCCTTTGTGTCAGAATCAAGTTACAGTGGTACCTCGGTTTGCAAACACCTCAATTTACGTAGTTTTAGGTTTACAAACCAAAATCCATAGAAAATAATGCCTCAGTTTATATTTCTTTCCCCCCCCCCCCCCCAAGTACGAAAGGATTTTCTCAGGGCGCATTGCGCCTATAGTGCCACCCTTTTCCTAGCACAATTGGGGTTTCAGTTTATGAAATTTCCGCATTATGTAATGTCACGTAGAGCGGATTAATTTTGTAAACTGAGGTACGCCTGTATAGTGACCCAAATGGGGCTTTCAAGGAAATTAAACATTTAAGGAGTGGTTTTAGCAGTTCCACGCCTCCCAGTGAGTTTCCAAGCCTCCTGAGTCCTCATCTGTAGGAAATAGCTGTCTGAATGCCAACTTCATTCAGAACGTCCTTAATGAATTTGCTTAGAACTGGTTATATGTCCCAAATAGCAGGAAAATGGTCTGTTTTATACATCCTATCCCTCACTATAGTATTGAGGTGGAGTGATAGCACAAGTATTTTTTTTATAAATAAATAGACACAATGAGTTCTAACTATGGTTGTTCAGCAGCTTCAGTAGTTAGTGGTTCAAAATTAATAAGCAAATCAGTCTGACTCTGATTGATTTATTCTAAGTCTGGTTTGAAGCAGAAAACCCAGATTCAGTTCTGGGACAAAGCAAAGCAAAGTTACCAATCAGTTCATGTTGAGGGCCAGATGGGAAACAAATTGCTTGGATCTACTAGATTCATTTTTCAAAAATAAACTTCAAAGGTGCTGAATACATAAATCCCTGAAACTAGGTGCCTGAAATTTGGCAGATTTACTCCCCTCTTGGCTTCAGATTTTGTATAGATCAATGCAAAAGGAAAAAGAAAAAGGTGTTAGCTGGTTTGTTTTTCCTATCCAAGTCGATGAGAGACTCATGAACTGAATGTACAAATCAGTTTGGATCTGGGTAATCAACTGAATCAGATGAGGACAAATAGCTCTGGAGCAAACTGAGATCCATTCTGAAGTCCTGAACTGGCCTCTAAACCGGATTGGGAGACCTGTGGCAGCCCTAGTTCAAATGGCATTTAATGTACCATAATACGTATTACATAGTATGTAGTTTGGCTGTCAGAACTGTTTGTGTAAAGGTTATCTCATGTGCTTAGGATACCCAATATGCTATAATGGATAGAGCGAAAGTCTGGGACTCAGGAGGCCTGGATTCAACCATGGTAACTCACTGGAGGTATGGAGTCAGTAAAACTTAAACATCTAATTTACCGTGAAAGTCCTATTAGGGTCACTATACGTTTGTTCTGACTTGATGGCACATAATAACAATCTGATGTGGTTAAACCTGACTGCTCTTTCAGGTTGGACAGTATGAAGTTGCCTTGTCAGTACACACAGCATTAGTCCATTTAGCCATACTCAGGGATTCTTGGTGTTAGAGAGACAACAAGTATTCTCCCCCCACCCTTCCCCAGGTTCTAGTCAAAAGGCAATGATGTGACAGAAACATAAGATAAAGTTCTAATCCTGTTGATTGGCAGGCAGATTCCATGACAGTTGGAAGCTTACAGGAGGACAGAGAAGGAACAGAGAAGGAGCCATTCAGTTTGATTAAACCAGAGTTTGTTGGAAGATGTTACTCGTGCAAAGCCTTCATAGTCAGAAGAACCACTGATGTTCAGTAGCTTCTTCTTCCACTCAAGCTTTCTGGGCATATCCTCAGCAAGCTGAACCATATAATAAGTGCGGGTGAGTTTCCTTGAAAGGAGCAACACTGATCAGAGTAAAAAGGAGAATGTGGAAAATTCAGAAGGAACAAGTCCCATTCTGAGACTGTAAGTTGTGTAGTAGCAGCTGGACTTTGTAATGTACGCACTGTGGAATTTTGACTGTTCAGAAACTTCAGCTGCTTCAAAATGTTGCAGCCAAACTGCCGAGTGGCACTGCTGACTGGCTTACAGAAAGCATGTATCTCCCTTATTACAACACCTTCATTGGTTGCCGTAGTGTATCAGGGCTCAATTCAAAGTGATGGCTATTATCTATAAAGGCTTGGATCCAGGCTATTTGAAGGATCGTATCACCCCTATGAGCCTACCTGGCTTTTAAGATCTTCTGGGGAGTTCCTTATCTAGGTTCCACCGCCTTTCACAAGTTTGTTTGGTGAGGACACAAGAGAAGGCCTTCTCAGTGGCTGTCCCAGGCTTTGGAACTAAGCACTACCTCAAAAAGCCAGGTTGGCCCCCTCTCTCTTGCCCTTCCATCATCAGGCAAAGACCCTCCTTTTTAGGCAGGCTTTTAAGCAATAAGTGGTGATCTAGAGCAGTGGTCCCCAACCTTGGGCCTCCAGATGTTCCTGGACTACAACTTCCAGAAGCCTTCACCACCACCTCTGCTGACCAGGATTTCTGGGAGTTGAAGTCCAAGAACATCTGGAGGCCCAAGGTTGGGGACCACTGATCTAGAGAACACCCTTTTTATGAAATCTAGACATTTTAAAATTTAGTTATGTATAATAAATTTAGTTTTGTATTTGCAAAACCCTATGAGGAGATGGGTGGTGGATATGTGGAAAACTGGATGGTTGGTTTTCTACCGTGAGCAAAGAGGCCCCATATCTTATTCAATGTGTTTTCCCATGCTTTCAATCTGCTTGTTATACTGCCTAGTCAATCCAGCATGGGCCTGCCCTTAAACATCATCTGCAACTAGTGTGGAATCAAAAGCAGTATTCTTCAGAAGGGAGACTCCTTTCTTCTTTTTCTTTTTTTAAATAACGATTGTAGTTTTCACCAGGATGTGAGCAGCTATCTTCTGTCCCACACACATTAATATTAAGCATTGAAGGAAGACAGGAGAGGAAAAAGAAATAAATTTATCTTTCTTGTTTCCTTCCTAAAAATTGAGACCTGAGTTGGAGACCCTCAGGGAAGGAGAATTGTGGCCGGGTGCTAACTGGGAATGAAACAGGAGAAAGGGATCTGGGAGACTCTCAGAGGGGGGTGGGGGCGGGAGGAGGCTGGAAGGGAGAGAGGGGTCAGTTCATCTACAGATGTGAACAACATCTGGGCTGGAGAAGACCTCAGGGGGTTCCAATACCTATCCCATAGAGAAGGCAAGCAGCATGCATCTGCAAAGTTCACTTTCCAGTCCAAGCTACTGTGAATCTCAGCAGCATCTCTATTCATAATCACAACTGTTAACAGGAGGTTCTTTTGTTCTCAGTGTAATCTAGCTGGTTAGTATTTTCCTGACTGTGTGCAGAACTCTCAACCCACTGTTCTTACATAGGGCTGAGTCTGATGCACAGTCTCTCAGACCATGTGCTTCTTACACCGTAGAGAAGTTGGTCTCACGGATAGACCACACCACTCTTCCCCAAAATGGTGCCCTGCTGATGCATCAGACTATAGGCTCCATATGGAGGAAGGCTGCCTGACATGATTAGTTTTTGTGAGTAACGATAGTATGAGAGTGCACTTGCCTAAAGATGTAAACTGACATGATTAGTTTTTGTAACTATTGTATGAGAGTGCACTTGCCTAAAGATGTAATATTTTATAGCTCTCTGTTTCTATAAATTTTGTGAAAGAAAATACATTGATGTAAACCAAAACACAATAATGGTAATTCTGAAACATTTTATTGCCCTAGCTGAGAACATTAAGACCTGTTGCTTCAACTGAAAGGGATCCAGAATGAAAAATGGTGATGAAATACAGAAGCTTTCAGATGCCATTAGCCCATTACTGGGGAAACGTTTCTAGATTATTTCTTCTCATAGGAGTCCTCAGCATCTTGTTTGCCATTGTTTGGAAACAAAACAAAGATAAATGCAAATGTCCAAAAGGGAAAGAACCTGGATTTGTGGTAAGTAACTGACATGGTTGTAGGCAAACTTCCTACATGGCTATCTCCATTTAAAGGACTATATATCCAACAATGCACCTGCTGGGACAAAACAACAGTACTGTATGTGTTTCTCAAAGCATGGGCTGAATCTGTCACATCTGGAACAGACCTGCTGAAATCAGTGGGGTTTATTTTATTCACAGTTAATTTCAGTCTCATTCATTTTAGCAGCCGGAATCCTGTTGAAGTCACTAAGTGAAGAGGAGCGCTTTCACAAGCAGCGTGCTCAGATGTGTGGACTGTCCTTCCAGTGTTTGGTCACGCTGTGGTTGTACAAGCCATCATGTTAGAGAGAGCCTACAAAATCTGAAAACTGATTGCACAAATGGCCTTATGTGTGTGGTAAAATCCAGCTGGGATCCAGCCAGTGGATCTATCCTAACAACAACAATTACAATAACTTCATGCCATCACAGGGTTTTTTAGGTCTAGAGTACTTCTTCTGGGGGCATCCTGGGACTGTGCAAGTTGCCCAAGGTTGGCTCTACTCACAGGAGGCACAGTGGGGAATTGAACTCCCAACCCCTCCCTCTGTAGTCAGATACCCAACTCATGGAGCTATCCAGCCAGGATCTCTCCTAAATATGAATAAACCCGGATCTAATCTACACTGAAAATAACCTTGTATTAAAGACCCATTATATTTGCCAAATACCTACAGAGGTCTTAGTTTGGGAAAATGTTTAGAGCATATTTGTAGTTGATCAATTAATGCTGATTTTATGCTACCTGGTTACACAGTGTAATGTGGCTGTAACCTGAAGTCAACAAGACCACACAGCATCAGAAGTACTGAGTTTTCCATTACCACTGAGGTCCCACAGTACTGGGTTGACACTACTGCTTCTATTCTTGTGATGATGCTAGGATCCCAATCTGTTATGCAGTCACTATGGTCACCTGGTGACTTATTTTTACATTATTTCTCCTATGGGAACAAATGGTTGAGATTGTGTTCCCTTTAATAGTGGTAGTCTCTTTATTACAGTGATTATTAATTGATGCTGCAGTCCTACCACTCCAGCCACCTCCTGAAGTGTGAAGTCTCTATTAGGGTGGCTGTTACGGGGTAGAAACAGTGATTTTCCACTATCCCTTCCCTGTAGGCTTAAGTGGTGACTCTTCGTCTTTGTGAGTGGATGTGATTTCCTCAGAAATCCAGCTGATTTGGGAGAAGTTATATTATTGCTGCACATTCACTACACATATATGTTTATTCTTTTTTTAAAAAAAATTCCATAAATTGTTCACTTACACCATACTTTATTTTCTCAGCACTGGTGGCTATGTGCTCACACAGTTTAAAAAGCAGGACATTCTCGAAAGGATTATTTTTAAAAGCTTAAATTTAAAGGAAAACGTTATGCTACCTCCAAAAGAAAGGAAAAGCAGAAGCAGAAGATGAGTCAATTCCCCCTTCAGTGGAAACATAGCCCCACTAATATGCTCCTCTTGTACCCTGAGTGAACACAACAATATAATCCCATTAGCCACCCCAACTGCTATATAGTAAGTACATCAGCAATAGTGTGAAAGCAATAAAACATAAAACAGACTTTGACAGTGTCAGCAACTACAAACAACAGATGTGTAGCAAAGCCCTGTCCACCATTACATAATGTTCAGCAATCTGGTCCCATTCATCAATGTTTGGCAAAAGTTAAGTCTCATTGTTTGTTCAATGTATTTTATCCTAGGTAAACAAAAGCTTCTTCCCTTTAGGCAGTCAATACTGTATGTGGAGCTCATTTCTTCTGTTTGTACGGAGTCAAAGCAAAAGAAGATCCATAATCTAAATTTCCTTACTTCAGAAGTACAGCTACTACTGTGGGATGCAGGGAGGGCTTTTCTTTTTAAAGGCCTTATAAATACCTTATATAAATTATACACGCATAACTGTAGATGAGACACATTCCATGAGAAAATGCCTATTGATCTGCAAGAAGGATCTTGATTGGTCCAAGCAGGGAATGGAAGATCATATTTCCCCTGGCCCCATGAATTTAATTTCAAGAACAAGTTCAAATTGATTATTAGTTGATATGATTCAAAAAAAATTACTAACAGTGATTAACGTGATATTAGCAGAGAAAAGAATGACATTTAACACATATACATAGATCTCAATATAAACAGAGACATAGACTGATGGATTCCAAATGATGGCAGGTGGTGGATGATAAGCGATGTAAGGGAGACGTAAGTGTATTTGCATTATCGCCCCATCCCCAATGCATGGTGCAAGGGGCTTTGCAAGGATCTTCACAGGTATTCTCCCTTGTCCTTTGTGCCAGCCCTCCAGTTCAGGCTGAGTGCAACACCCCTGGCTATGCATCGTGATCACAGTCCCTACACATCTGCTGCTCAGGAGCCAGCTCCTCTCCACGTCCCTGAAAGCTAGTGAAGTCCAATGAAGGATAAATAGCAGCAATGCTGTGGTCCGGATGTTTAATTTAATTACTTTCTCTGTTCAANTTTTTTTTTTTTTTTGCTGGAAGACCAGAGAGAGAGAGAGAGAAAGAGAGAGAGAGAAGTCAAAGGCAAGTGAGAAGGGATCCAGTATATGAGCCAAATCCTGAACAGATTTAGTCTCGTGGCTAGTTGTGTAACAATATTCATCAAAAGGGAACAGTTGATCCCCAAATGATTTAGATTTACTCTACTATTCTGAATATATATCCAGTGTTTGTGGTCTGCCACGGTCTCAACTTTAATTATAATAATCATGTGTAGAGATGATCATGAACTGGGCAAACAGTGGTGTGTGATAGTTCATGGTTTTTTGCTATTCATAAACTAGTAATCACTTACTTTCATGAATTTCCCAGTGAAACAAACTAGTTTGGTTTCATGGTTCATGTGATTTGAGACTTACAGGAATGGTAGAATGGCTCCTGAATGAGTTAGAGACACAAAACATGCAGAGAGTCTTCAGCAGATCCTTCCCTCCAAGTTGGTAAAGATTGGATTTGAGTTACCTGAGGTATTTGTTGTCATTTAGTCATTACGTTGTGTCCGACTCTTCATGACCCAATGGACCACAGTACGCCAGGTCCTCCTGTCTTCCACTGCCTCCCAGAGTTTGGTCAAATTCATGTTGGTAGCTTTGCTGATACTGTCCAACCATCTCATCCTCTGTCGTCCCCTTCTCCTCTTGCCCTCACACTTTCCCAACATCAGGGTCATTTCCAGGGAATCTTCTCATGAGATGGCCAAAGTATTGAAGCCTCAGCTTCAGGACCTGTCCTTCCAGTGAGCACTCAGGGTTGATTTCCTTCAGAATGGATAGATTTGATCTCCTTGGAGTCCAGGGGACTCTCAAGGGGTATGTTGTTGTTTAGTCATTTAGTCGTGTCCAACTCTTTGTGACCCCATGGACCAGAGCACGCCAGGCCCTCCTATCTTCCACTGCCTTCCGGAGTTGGGTTAAATTCATGTTGGTCGCTTCGATGACACTGTCCAACCATCTCATCCTCTGTCGTCCCCTTCTCCTCTTGCC